TGTTCTTTAACCCGTAACAACTTTTATCTCAAAGTCTTATCGAGAGTTGAGAAACTCATTCAGATCGTGAAAAAAAGGAAGACAAACCAGAAAGATTATCGTCAATCCGTTCCATATTTATTCATGAACATAATCAATAACAATTCATTATATCCCGTTAGCTAGAGATGAAGGGGCAGCCTGAAGGTGTCTCCTCAGTAGATTCATTGGAGTTTTTGCCCTTAATCAGACCTGCCAGCAGCTCTCCACGGTCATAAAAGAACTCCACCTTCACAATCTTGGAGTGTTCATCCAACTGTTTCAATACATCAAAGAACGTTTTTAGTGCTCAGCACTGGACAACATAGAATGCACTATAGACGAGATTGCAGCTTCTTTTAATTTTTTGCTCCTTGATATTGTCTAGTCTGGTATAATATACTTTTCCAAACAAGTCATAACATGTTTGATATGCACTATTGGACGAGACAAGGATTTTAAGCCTTTGCTTTTTTTTTTTCCCCTCTTAATAAAGACTTGTCCTATCCTACCAAACAAGCCGCAGACATGTTAAATAATTTAAAGATGAAGATTAAAGTAGAAGTACCTCAAAAATGGCCATTCCAAAGAATTCAACCTTTTCTCCAGTAGGAGCATGCCCTTTAAAAGGGCCCTCCATGAAACCCCAGTGCCTAAATTTATACACAATCACAGGAGGTCCTGAATACACTTGAAGAATTTCAATTACAAATCCACGTGGGAATGTTGTTTTGAAAAGTGTTTGTGATGAACCAGCTGTTTCCTCCTCAGAATTGTAGAGTCTCAAAGATTTTGGCAAGGATGTCTGAAGAAATGCATTATAACCTCCCCCAATATTTATAATTTCCGCCAATGTGAAAAATTTTCTACCTGCTTACATGATGCAGTAAACTACGTTAACTGCGTTTTCCTTATAGAAATCTCTTTCTATCGAAAAACTGTAAAATTTCACGTGAACCATGTTTGTGGGAGGTTAGGTCAGACCACATCTCGAAGGTGTCTTTATTTTCTGTATTATAAATTAAATTCTCAATGGTGTTAAAAATATATAAATACCATTGACGCCAAATTTGAACTTCTCTGCATCAACGGTCTTGTACTCATCTGGATCTGCCTTGTGTACCAATTCCATCTCCCATGTCTTCACAAGCCTCTGCACTTTCTCTTCAAGTGATCCAACCGGCCATATCTACAATATACATATTCATTAGGATTAAAAATAAGTTTAAAATGCCAAAAAAAATTAAAAAATTAGAATGAACAAGAATGTTTCGGGGATTGATGAACACGATAAACTCTATTTAATTTTGAAAAATCAGTTTTTTTTTTT